TCTCCACAGTGATTTCCAATCTGATGGTTGCTTGCCTTGGCTTGTGGGTGTTTCACATACGGTGGTCCGTTGGCTGGCCAAGGGCGAAATATTGGCGCCCGTGTCAGGATGTCTGCTTGTGGCCACGTTTGCAATAGACCCACAGAGAGAAAAGATCCACACTCATTTGGCATTGCAGTTGGAACCCTCCAGCCTACCGCCGCACACCTGGTGGGATTGGATTGACATCAACACATTGTGGGGATCCCACCATGCACTGTTCGGCGTCAACTTCCCCGGATCTTTCGTGGGAATGTCCGGTTTTCTGGTGATGCGGCTTGGCTTTGTATACCGGCGAGTTTGTTGTTTCTGAGGGTTGCCTTTTCCCCCAGATTCTTTACGTGGAGATAATTCTTTTCTATCCAGCATGGTGCTTTCATTTCGATTAACATAAGCAATCCAAGGGTCATATATGGCCGCAAAGGGCTTGGATTTGTTCAAGTGATCAGCTTCTTCAAAGGAATGATCTTGCCAGCTATTGGGTCTCTCCTTATTCGTGTTGTTCGATCCAAAGAACTTGTAGTTCGGAAAGCATTGGATGACCTGGTATCCTCTCCTGAAGCAATGCAATCTCTGTTTGCAAAAATCGACGAGACTTCACTTGTCAGCCCTGAGAGTGTTGGCCGCGTGCTTGCAGAACTCGTGAAAGATTCGTCCAAGGATGTATTGGAGAGGTGTGGCGTTGACAGCACAAGGAAATTTGAGAGAATGAGGCGACACTGGCTCGAAGCTCTTCGGAATTCAACCACGTCTCGAAAGCTCAAAAAAGGTTTTCGGGCGGCTTCAACAACTGCTGAGCATTTTCGTGTCGGCCTCGTTGAGCACTATTTGAAGAAGGGTGTTCCGGTGAACGATTTGCATGAATTGGGACATATAATGAAGGGCAACTGCAAATTAGCTGGCTTCAAGGCCAGCGATTGCAAAGAGCTTGCAAACTTCACAGCAGAGATGTGTAGAGAGGCTGGATTCACCATCACAGATTGCACAGATGCCGGATTTTCATTGTTACAGTGCAAAGAGGCAGGCTTCACCGCACGGGACTTTAAACATCATGGTTTCACTGCAAAGCTGTGCAAAGACTTGGGTTTCTCAGCCCACGCGTGCAGATATGCCGAGTTCACTGCCACAGAATGTCAGGAAGCTGGTTTTGTGGCAGATGATTATGTTACCCCGGATGGTGTGGCATTTGATTCCGACTCTTCAGACGAAGACTAACCACTCTGCGCCTGCCCACTATAAGAAATTAGAGCAATTGTGTACTTTGTATGCTCTCAGCACAACAATAATGCTTTGGAAAAATGTGTTTGGTTTCAGCAAGCTGGCTTCACCACTGAGCACTAGAACGGTGCTAGCTTCATGTCTAGCAATAAGGGGTATCACTGTTTCGCCCATGAACCAATCACCCAAACCGGTGCGGGAAAGAGTAGACAGGCCATTGTACCAGCCAAGGAGTATACAATTTTAAAAGTGTGATCGCAATGTTATCGCCGAGTCCAGCAAACTGTAGCCGGTTCATATCCGCGTGTTTTTTGAGAGAGAGGAAGCACTGGTTTTTTCCCTTCCCTACAGAAACCTGCCCTAAACTGATAAAGTCATACAGCGCCTAGTTTGTATAGAAGACACTGGCATAATATCCAGAAGAAGAAGAACGGCCATTTTGCATGCACAGCTTTCAAACACTGCGACAGGACAGTTTCTTCCAGTCATTTGAAGAGAGGCACGTTTCCAAGGAGGAATCCCTTCAAGATGCGTACTGCTAAGGTATGTATTATTACTAGCTTAAATTGCACTCATTTCACCAAAAGCTCCATGTCCAACAAACAGCTTGTTTCAACCATTTTTCGGAGACCTGTCCTGCATTACCAGTACACGGGCATTTGGCCGCTACGCATTTTGTATCATGTTCCACCCATCCCAGCTAGTTTGATACTCCTGCGGGATACGTTTTCATGAAGGTTTCACCCTGAGTCATCCGATGGCGCTGGTTCCTGTCGTAAACGTGGTGGGAATCCTGAGCTGGATGATCGAGATGTTCAGTGTCGAGATGTGGAAACTTGGCCTGGCAAGCCCTTTTGACTTATCTTTTGGATTTTTTACACGCCTACATGTCCAGTTGTCCCAGGTATACACGTTGGATTGCGATTGATGTAGCCCATTAATGTAGCACACCATTTTTATTTGCTGGGAGGAAGGGAAAGCCCTCTAGATTCTGATTTCTGGTGTCAATTGAACAGTGAGGAAGGAGTGTGCCGGCAATCTCCAATGCCGAGTGAAGCGCTTCCCGTCACTCTTCAGCCAACCTCCACAGAAATTTCTCCCTCAGCTGTCAGAGATCAATGAGGTGGAGGCATCGGAAAGGCTTCACTACTGGGGCTCCATCCTCTTGTTGCTCGGTTGTCAAGAAAGCTGTACTCTACTGTTTGAAGTCAGGGAGAGTGCCTTTGATGTTGGTTGGCGTTATCTCAGACCTTCCCTTCACCTAGCCCTCAAATGCCTCACTGCTGCATGGCCACTTTTTCAAACGACGGCTTTCAAGTGCCTTCATTTTCGCATGCACACTTTCAATCATGTTCGTTTCTTTTGCATTCATAGTTGGGTTTCGCCACCTTGCGCGCACCCTTTTGATCATGTTCGCAGGTTTGCGTCATGACCCTCAAGAGCCTTCACTTTGTCGTGTTGCATGAGCGCATGCGGCATTTGTGTGTACAGACGACGTACGTATTATATATATTTATATTTATGTGGGCTCAGTCGAACATTGCAATGTTCTTCTTGCATTGTCTTGAAATAGTATTGGACTCCGCTGGACTCCTAACTATTTGTTGAACTTGTTGTTTCTCCTTGCTCGTGTGCCTTGAACATCTCATTGAGCTTGGAATTCACCCACTGAATTGGCGCTCCTATCACTTGGACCCTTTATTGACCATCCCGACGCGCCAACCATATTCCTTTAACCCACTGAGCGCAACTTTCCTTGTCAGCAGGGGCCTCACTCCCATTGCAGAATGGAGATTGAATGGAGATCAGATTTCTTTTTGTCTCCAGACCTTTGTCGAACAAGTCTCCTTAGGCTTGAAATGAATCATTGAAGAGATAAATGACTGGCTTCTTGTGCTGCCGTTGCTTTGTGTCCTTTGCATACCACAGTAATCATTGCGGCTAATTGATGTTAATTGGTGTGAATAAGACACTACTTGGCACAAACTGGCGGTAGTTTTTGCTGACTAACGCTAAATTTTGGATTTCACATTGTTACTTGGCGAAATCATTTGGCAAAGAACTGGGGTCTTGGAATCCATTGAGGGACATTTTAACATTATATATGTGTTCTCCCAACGGGATAGCATGCCTGAATGGTGGTTCCACTGGAGCTTTTGAAGTCAGGGCTGCCTGACCTCTCCCACCCGACCTCCTTGTGAGGTAGGTGGTGAGAGGTCAGGTGGTCTAATAGCAACTTGGGTGGACCACTTCTCGGCCTCAGCACTCCTTGTGGAATGAGAGGCTGAGGAGTGGCCAAGTTTGGGCCTGAGACCCAGAGAAGGGAGAGTGAAGACAAGTGAGAAAGTAAAGATGGAGAATCAGAAGTTGCGGTTTTTCAAAAAGGGCGGAACCCTTGAGGATTGGAATGAGTTGTTGCAAAGTGGCCTTCTGCCCCACCAGATGAGTTGGGTTGATGCCAAAGGGCATGATGACATCCTGAGCTATGCGGAGTCAGTGTTGGGAAAAGGTTTTGTGATGGAGTATGAGTGCCATGATTGGCCGAGCTCAGGGGAAAGCATGCCTCCGATTGGAGTGAGGTTGGTAGAGGATTTTTGGTTGGAGATCATTTGGTTGCAAGTGACGGTTACTGTGAGTGGTACGGCCAACATTACCTGATGGATAGAAAGGGGCTGTACCATTTGTGCAGTGGAGACAGAACAAAGTGCAAGGTGAAGTTGCCACGAGGAGATGGAAGAGAGTTGGTACATATCAGCCGTTGGAGATTGGTCAATCCGTTGATGATGCATGATATGGAGTACTCCAAAAAGCGTGCATTGGAGGGCATCATGAGCTTTATTGATGCCTGGTCACCTCGTGTGCCTGAACCGGCAGGAGCGCCTGGTGTGAAAAGAAAGGTGGAGTCCTTCGAAGACCCAACAGGAATTGATAAGGCCCTGGAGAAGGCAAAGAAGGCGGCGACCGAGAAGAAGGAGGCCCATGGTGAGAGTGGAAGAGGGCCGAAAGGGTCAGTTGGCGCTCGGCTGGAAAGGAGGGCGGCGGAACGGCGTGAGCAGCAGCGGAAGAAGGAGGAGGAAAAGAAGAAGGAGAGCCGTGGCCGGAGCCGGAGCCGCAAAAGGCGCCGGGGAAGGAAGGAAAAGCGACCATCGTCGAGTGAGAGGAGAAGTGAGTCAGGCCATAGGAGTGAGAAGTCACAGAGAACTCATCACCCTCGGGACCGCCATCGACCTGCTGATCATGGGCGAGCTGCCGGAGCTAGGAGACCTTCTGATGCAGCGGTTGAAGGCTCTGGAGACCAGTCTGGTCGGCAGCAACTGGATATCAGCACGGCATCAGGAATTGATACAAGCCGCAAGCTTGTCCTCAGAGAGCGAGAGGAGAAGAGCAGCAAAGCAGGAAGCCGCCAGCCTGAAGCGGTCAAAGAGCCGCGAGCAGGTGCGTCGAGTCCATTTCGACGATCGGCCAAGAGAGATAGGTCGCCAAGGGGGAGCCAAGGAGAAACCCGGAGGGTTGTCCTCCGCGAAGCAAAGGAGGTCCGCCTGGCAGAAGGCGATATGGCCGAGGAAGGAAAGGGCCTGGAAAGATCGCAGGAAAGCGACAGTGGCAGTGAATCCAGCGAGGAAGGGTTTGAAGCCCTTCCAGCGAAGTCCAACCCCGAGGAGAGTGATGGAGATTGGGAAAATTTAAGTGTTGATCTTGAAGCTGGAGTTGAGGAGAGTTTAGCCATAATGCAGCGCTGGTTAAAAAGTGAAGAGTGTGGTGGCCTGAGCATTTCACAAACAGGAGGACTTTTGGCGTCGGTGTGCATGCGAAGTGGCACGAACTTGGGCGAATATCTCAAGCGGTCCATCGAGCCGGGGTCTGACGACGGCAATAAGGGAAGAAAAGGGGAGGTTCTGCCCCTGCCGCTGTGGGCCGATGGGAAGGAGCAGCTCAGGAGCCTCTTCGAGTCTGGGGACTTTCGGAAGTTTGGAGGCACAGACAAGAAGGCCTTTCGACATGCACGACGAGCCGGTCTGCTCATTTGGCATCGCTTGGCTGTGGTGGTGCTGAATTTTCTGTGGACAGGAGGAGGAAAGCAAGCGAAAGTTCATTGAGGGACCACGAGTCGAGTCAGGCTAGGGCTTTGGATCGGGTTTGGGAGACGGCGAAGGCCTTCGTCGATCATAGCTCGGAGACAAAAACAAAGTGCCCCGCTCCCCAGAGATGGGGGAGTGGGGAAGAAAGGTTGGCGATGTGAGGATCTCATATCAAGGTGAGATAGTGGAGAAAGGACAGCGTCTGACACTGGATCAGGTCCTGCCTGGTTTGCCACCTGCGGGTTATGGAGCAAGCGTTCCGCTCGTAGAGTTGTGTGAAGGAGTTGAAGGAAAAGCTTCTGCATCCGCTGAGCAATCTATTGTCGGAGGAGGAGATGCCAGTGGAGATGCCAAGGCCTCAGATTCATGCCTCCCGTGTTTGGAGTCTTCGACTACCTCTGGAAGGACATCTCGGATGGCGAGGTCATGATTGAGCTTGGAGCCAAGTCAGTGGAGGAGATACTGATGGCAGGTTGTAGTCAGCCTCTGAGAGTGACTGACTTGAGGGCCAAACTGCATGAAGTGGTGACGGCCTCTGATGCCAGTGAGACAGGTGGGCTCCGTGTATGGGTTGAAGCTGACCTCCCGAGGGCTCAGAGAGATGCGCGCCTTGGAAGAGGAGGAGGATGATGTCGGCGGAGAGGGCATCAATTTGGATGCACCCCAAAGCGTGCTGGTGTTCGACTTCTTCGCAGGCATAGGAGGCCTGAGCCGTGCACTGGAGCTGGCAGGACAGAAGGTGGATCATGTAGTGGTGATTGAGAAGGACCCTGAATGTCGAAGGCTAAACAAGACAAGGTGGCCTGGATGTGATGTGATAACTGATATCACGAGGGTGACAAAAGGAGAGATAGAGAAGTACATGAGGAGTGTACCAGGCCTCACCGGAGTGATTGCTTGGGGGAGGCTCTCCGTGTCAGGGTCTGTCAAAGTTGAATGTGAACCGAATTCACCTTCAAGACCCGAGGTCCCAGTTGTTCTACAAGTATGTGGAGATTCTGGGTTGGATTGAGGACCTGGCAAGAGAAATGAAGGTATGGTCCGTCCTCATGGTGGGGAATGTAGTTGGAGATGAGGAGGACATCCGAGAGATGAGTCAATAGCTGGGATGCCGTCCGGTGCATGTTTGCTCGGGGTGCCTATCGTGGGTTCTGCGGCCAAGATTGTATTGGAGCAATGTGGCGTTGGATGACCATGCCAGCTATCAGCTCAACCATCACGAGCTCTATGATGTGTTAGAGTTCAATGAGGAGTTGGAACCTCTGGGGTCGGTCTGTGATGAAGGGTGGTTTTGGGCGGCAGCGGAGGTCAATAAGAACCTTCGGTTGCCGACTTTCACACGAGCCATTCCACGGAGGAATCCGCCCAAGGAGCCAGCGGGGCTGCAGTCCTGCGATCGGAGCACAATAGACAGATGGAAGGAGGATAGGATGAAGTTTCCTCCATACACCTACCGACCCGAGTTCCTTTTTCACCATGCCACGGGAGAAGAAGTGAAGCGTGTGGCATCGGCAACGAAAAGAGAGAGATTGATGGGATACCCCACGGGGTACACCTTGGCTCTGTTTCGAAAGGAAGCAGAGACGGAGGAGGAGAAGAGGAAGCAGACGGTGGCTCGAGAAGCGGCTATCGGAAACAGCTTCCACACTGTGGTCGTGGCTTGCTTGATGGACCTGTGGTTATGGAAGAAGCAAGCCTGAACTGATCCGAAGGGAGCCAGCACCATAGTGAAAAGATGGCATGAGGAGATGGCAGTCAGGAGGTTCAATGACATTGGAGAAAAGGATGATGCCACGACGCATGTTAGCGAGAGTGAGAGAGACAAGGAGGAGGAAGAAGCCCTGGTGCAGTTGGTCCGAAACCCAAAGCGCGAACAATGGCTTCGTCTGGCTGGACATATAGTTTTGGCAAGGATGGAGGAGCCCGCTTGTTGAACGTCCGGCTGATTCACCAATATCTTCGGAGGATGGAGTTTCGTGGAAGCGATGTTCGGTTGGACCTGCAGGTCGTGTATACCGTCCGGATGCTGTGGTCCGCACAACAGTTGATCCAGGCCGATGGGTTTGGAAGACGGCCCAATCGTACAAGTGGCGCCGAAATGAGCACATCAATCTTCTGGAGTTGAGGGCGATCCTGAGGAGCCTAGAGTGGCGGGCCCGTTCGGCCTCCATTCCTGCAGGTTCCTCCATCTATCGGATTCCCAGATCTGCCTGGCTGTACTGAGGAAAGGTCGGAGCAGCTCGAGAAAGATCAATCGCATTTTGCGGAAGATCTCAGCCTTGTGTGTCGCGTTGAACCTTTTCCCTTTATGGGCTTGGATTGCATCCCGATTGAATCCCGCGGATGGTCCAAGCAGACGCTTTGAAAAGGATGCCAAGAAGGGAGATTAAGCGAAAAGCCACAAAAGCAGACCGCAAGGCTGAAAGGCTGAAAGTGGGAAGGTTGTCAGAGCAAAGAGTTTCACAAGCAACTGCAGAAAGATATGCCGTTGCCTTGCATGGCCTGAGTACCTTTGTGGGAACCCCAGAGGTAGAACTGCTGAAACGAGCAGACCTTGAGTCAGTGCTTTGTCAATATGTTGAGTTCCTCTGGGAGGAAGGAGATCCCAAGACGATGGCAAATTATGTGATGGCTGCCGTTCAGTATCGAAGGCCAGAGCTCAGAGGAAACTTGAAAGGAGCATGGCAGCTGGTTTCCTTATGGAATAAGTTGGAGCAACCCTTGCGGGCTACGCCCCTTAGTCCTGAATTAGTGTTGGCTTTTGCTGGAACGCTATGGCAGTGGCAATGGCCTCGCTTAGCCCAGCTTACCATGGTAGCCTTTTGTGGTCTCCTACGGACGGGAGAGATGTTTCAACTTCAGCGGCAAGATGTGGTGCTGCCACGAAAGGAAGGACAGTCCGCGATCCTCTTCCTGCATGACACGAAAACGTCACAACGAAATTTTTTGAGGAGCGAGAAGGTACTCATTCCTGAGAAAAGCGGCATTGCTTGCTTGCGCGCTCTTTGTCAGAGACGCAAGCCTGAAGAAAAGTTGGTGGATTTTTCCCCTGCTGCTTTCCGGTCACTATGGAAAGAGGTTGTGCATCACCTCGGCCTGGAAAGCTTCAACTACGTTCCTTACAGTCTGAGACGGGGGGAGCCACTGCAGCGTATGTTCAGGGCATGCAATTTGATCAGCTTTTGGCCAAAGGCCGCTGATTGCCACTGCACGTTTTTACCTCGATCAAGCCCTTCAAGAATACACTGCTCTTGTCCTACCACAAGCCGTGACCCGTAAGGTTCGCGCAGCAAGCCAAAGGTTTGCTGCCGAGCTGGGACGCGTGGAGGAGGGGGCAAGGAGGACTTGATCGGGTAGAGGGCATAGGAAATGCCTTTTGTTCAGCAGGCACTTGACCCCGGCATAAAAGTGCACGGTCAGGGTCAAGAGGTGGACCACATATGTAAGGCATATTTATACATGTTTGAGGGGGGATTCCTGATGAGTCCTGCTCACTAGTCACTATCGAGAATGAATACTTGGACCTTTCTTGACACTGGCTGCCGCTCAGCAACTCCGGAACTTGTCTCCAAGAGGCTCCAACGAAAGTTTGCCATTTTGTTGCACGGTCTTTTAACTGCGGCAATTGGACAACACTTTTCATCAATTGTTCAACGTGCAAAGCAGGTTCTTCTTCGTGATCTTGTATCACTCTTGCACCATGACTCCATGGTCCTTCATTTTTGATATGATATGATATGATATCTCTCAGCTTCCTTCCCCTTTTGCATCGATCACTTTTAACCTCTTTTGGTGCCATCATTGAGCACCTCGTACCTCTGTAAAGGTTTGCAAGACCCGCCTGTGAGTTTGTTGGTGTACTGCCTGGACCTAGACTTTTTCTGATGAAGACCCCTCATCCAGCACAACTATCCTGTGGTCCTCCAAACCATACATTGAAGGAGCTGACTTTTTCCAGCGGCTGCCGCTATACCAGAACGAGGGTTTATGGCGCTGTTGTTTTTGAGATTAACCATTGCTTCCTTCTCCTTTCTTCTCTGACCATGTTGACCGGTACTAATTTTTGTATATATATCTATGCGCTTTGTTAGTGGACCTTCAGATGCATCATTTGCAGCTGGATTGCGCCCCATGTCTTCTCACGTGGTCCGATTGGTATGGAAGGCAGTACTTGCAACGAAGTTGTTTTTTGCCAGTTGACATAGTGAGGTCTTCGCCTCCTATCATGGCTTTCGCTTGCGAAGCAATGCGCTTTTGTTCCAGGAAATATGCAGTCAACAAGCAGGTCGGCAGCAAGAAAGTTGAACCACAATATTCTCAGATATCAAAGAACTCAATCCCTGGCAGCCACAGCAGGTTGCTTAAACTGGAGGAAAATCGAACCTCTGATGTGGAGAGCCCGGTACTTGTGCCCCAAGACCATACATTCAAAGGAGAAAGCACTGCTGGGTCTTTTGGGATATGGCTCATTCTGTACCACACCACTTGCGCTGGCATCGTAGCAGTTGCCGTGCTACATGGCTGGCTCTCCAGTAGCACCGGGCTGGCATGGGAGCTTTGGGTATTATGGCAGCAGTTGTGCCTCTGGAATTTGTTTATACAGACTGGGTGCCGTTGTGCGATGCTGGATGCTTGTACGTGCTTATATGTAGTCTTTGGTTTCCTTTCTCACCTTTGTCATTTTCTTGTCGGTTTTGGACACCTGCTGGGCACCTTTCTTGCAAACACTGCAAAGGGCAAACACATGCGCGCCCACTGAGCTGAAAACCATTGACATGAAACCAAGGATAGCGAAGCCCTGGAAGCATCCACGTGCACAGCCGTGCTGTCGTACACAGCCCCATTCATCAGTGAGGTGTACGATACCATGAAGGACTGGGTGGTGACAGGGATTTGCCTCCTTTATGCCACTTGGTACTGCTCATGTTGATGTGTGTGTTTTTCCAAGTTTATTTTGTGGTGGGTGGGTTTTACGGGGTCTATCAATGGTTTCTTCCCGAGTCCCTTCATCCATCCCAGGCCGAGACTTGGCAGGGCTTTGTGGTAGGAGCTGTCCTTGTTGGAATTGAAGCGAGTGCGCTGGCACGGGGATTGAATCCTCGTTGGATTTCCATTTCCGACGATCTGAAAATTAGCCCTCCGGCCTACGTGTTGCAGGCCATTTTTCAAAGTAAGTCTAGTGTTGTTGTGTGTGATTTTCGCCAACTTCAACTCTGTATTGATCCCGGGGCCCAATTGTTTTGAGATTCTTGAACTCATACATGTTGCTGCTCAATGCTGCTCACTGTTTGAAGGGGGTCATGTTTATGCTGTTTCTTTAGTTGCGTGTATATATATATATATTGATCCGGCACCAGGTGTTCTATGCCGCACTCCTTTTTGTACTCTTTCTTGCGCGGGGTCCACTTTGGATCAAAATGCCTGGTGCCTTTCTAGTTCTGCTCCAGTTCATTGAGGACAACCATAGCTCGCTCTTTAGTGGAATGTCCCTTGTGGTGCTTTTTGCATCATGCATTATTCTCATGCTCCGCTTGGACGCATGTGAATTGCTGTCCTCTCCGTGCCTCACATTTGTGCAAGCTGCCTTTGAATGGCTGGGTGATGGAGGGCTTCTAGCAGTGGTGTCTGCCTACGTTATTGTGGTTTCCTATGTGCAAGTCAGCTGGCATGATGAGTGCAAACGTGAGCTTCGTAAAAGCTACCGGGTGATTCTTGAGTTGGCAGAGAAGAAACCTGAGACCCTCAAAGCTGAAACGTGGCCAGAGTGGACAGAAAGGCAGTTTAGCAATTTTTGTGTAGACTTTGTGAGCAGGGCTCGTCTTCTCATAGCGTGGTCGGAGGACTGGCCGCAAGGCGTTCTGGGTGTTGCTTTGGTTCTGAGGTATGTAGGGTTGAAAGGCTTTGGATTTGCAGGAATTTCTGCCGCTATCAGCGTGGGGAAGGGAGTTTTGATCCCTGTGGGCCAGAGTCTGATCTTTGAGTACAAAAAGGCCGCAGTCGAGAAGGCTTTGGATGACTTGGTATTCTCTGCTGAGACAAGGCAAAGGATGGTTGAGACACTACCGTCACCACCGCAAAACTCGCCAATCGACCCTGAAAGCGTTGGTGAACCATTCAACAGATTGATGAAAAAGCACTCCGACTCTGTGCTCAAGAGGCTTAATGTCGCAGATTCTGAACTTTACCGGCCTTTAAGGGATTGGCTGCAGCAACAATGGTTCAAGGATCTTATGAAGTCGGAAAGGCACATTGAGCGTTTCCGCGTCAGCCTTGTTGAGCACTATTTGAACAACGGTGCTCCCGTGAGATATTTGTATCAATTGGGACATATGAAGGGTAAATGCAAATTAGCTGGCTTCAAGGCCAGCGATTGCAAGGAGCTTGCAAATTTCACAGCGGAGATGTGCAAGAAGGCTAAATTCACCGTCAAGGATTGCACAGATGCCGGATTTTCATTGTCGCAGTGCAAAGAGGCAGGCTTTACTGTGAAGCATTTCAAAAATGCTGGTTTCACTGCCACGCAGTGCGCGGAGGCTGGTTTCAGCCAAGATGACTTGGAAGATGTCGACTTCACCACTTCAAAGCAGTGGGAGGATGCTGGCATCATGCCGAGCATTTGCAGTTTCACCCAGAAGCCAAAAGTGGCATATGACCTGGAATCAGATACAGAAGATTCAGAATCTGAGGTTTCGTGCAGGCGCTGCCGCCGCCGAAAGATAGAATCGTTAGAATGACTCAGACAGAGCGCTTGCTCTGTTCCAGATGTTCTAAGCGCGAAGAGCTTATTTTTAGAAAACAATGTGGACTGGTTTAAGCAAGCGCTCCAAACTGTACACAAGAGTGCAAGGAACAAAACTCATGCTCAAAAGGAGCCTATCGACTCCATGCCAATCACGGATCCAAAAAGGACCTGGTGCCACGCAAGAAGGCCTCCTGTTGAAGTTGAAGAAAAACTCAGGTATTACTTGAGAATCTGAGATCAGGAAAACATCTGTGAATTGCGCTGTTTCTGGTATCCCAGATGATACGGGAGTTCTTCCATCAACAGTACGGAAATACCCATCAAAATTGAGGGTTTCCCATGGTCCTCACGTTGTCAAAAAAACACATGTTCCTTGTGTGTCATTAGCAGTTGCAGGAGTTCCATGCATTCCTATTTTTCCAGTCCTTGGGTAGTTCAAACACCATGCAGTGGTGAAAATAGGAGCCCAGCTGAAGGTGACGCGGCTGTTGAAGGGTGAAATAGAGGAAACCTAATTTATATTTCGAAAGCCAGCTGGTAGGCTAGGCTGAAGTCAGTTTATGTGGGGGGCAGACGGGGCAAAATTGATGTAAACCACATCCCCCGCTTTTCTAAAAAAATATTTTTCGTGGGTTGGTGATGTAGAAGATGCAATGTGACTGAGGTAGCGGTATTGCATCACCAGCATCGCTTTCACAACAAAATGCACCCTTTAGGTGACACATGTGTTGCGCCGAAAAGTCGCCTGCTGGTTCGTCCTGGCCTTTCCCATTATCCAGGCATATAATCTTATGTAGAGAGAGATAGAGATGTGTGTGCGGGTAGATCATGATCAAGCCAACTTTTGTCGCGTGGGTTGTGAGCCCAAAGAACGCGAACTAGCAAGACACCCAACAAAGCTTGGTTGTTGGTCCCATGGATGGAGCCCAAGAGTGTGACTCCTCCTTCAGATCTTCTCCGGCTTTGCAGAAGCCGGTTTGATCAGAGAAGGCCAAGGATGAAGCGGTTTGGCTATGAGACCAGCTTCACCCTGTACCGCCATCGTTCCAGGAAGCTTTTTTTCAGGAATGTCTTCCAACTCCACTTCGAGAAGGGAGGTGGGGCTTTTGGTGCGGTCTTTGATCGGGGAGAATGCAAGGCGTCAGTGTGAGCGGAATGTTCTATGAGGGGGGGGCTTCATGGACTGCCTGGAGGCATTTATGGCCCCAACACGCAGAGACGGACAACCAGGGTTTTTTCTTCGAGCAGTTGGCCTATCACTTGGTCGTGGAGTGCGAATGAATCTGATGGGCATGTTGGAGATGGTTGCAGCTCTTACCCGTACCCATGGGCCTCAAAGAGCGCTGCAACCTCGTGAAAGTCACGCAGGATCATCAACAGCCAGTTCAACAGCGCGTGAAAGAGAAGAGGCGTGACAGCGTGTCACTGTGGATGTTAGTGGTGATCAAGAACAAAGACATGTTTGTAAGAGGTACCTATTGGCCTAGCTTGCTCCTGGAGATCTTGGTCGTGTTCATCCTGGTGTTCTGGTGCTGAAGGAGAAGCTCAGCCATGTCATCCTATGGAAATGAACCAACAACTAAGACAAAGACGTCAACGGGGAGCTAATCAAGCTGGAGAGTCATTTGGCCTGTGGGACCGGTTCCACCCGTCACTTGAAGCTTGATGACATCTTCTTTTGACCGATGGTAGGCTTTTCCATGAAGATGAAGCAAGCCCAAATAATTCTAGTCGGGCACTGTGGTTGAGGGCGCTCTCCGGAACAGCAGAAGCACGCGCGGTTACAACAGGCGGAATGCAGTTGTCGCAAATGCGTTGCAGCTACAAATAGAGATGGGACTTCTTACAGGGCGCCAAGACCTACGCCTGTGGTTTTGGTGGAGAGTCTGCAGGCCTAACCAAGAGGGTTAGCCTGTATGAAACTACGGACTGTTCCGGCATCGTTCACACTTCTCCAACAAGTCTGTTCCATCGCCCGTGGCGCTTCCAATCAATGTCTGGGCCATTCAGGGGGAACATAAAATATCTGTGTTTGTGAAGATGCGGATCTTTCTTGGGGATCTAGAGTTCCATGGCCGAATTCCAGCGAGTGGTCAAAAAGAGAGGGGCCTCCAAAAAAAGCACTTCGCCTACGACACCAGCCATGGAAGGGGCAGGGATGATGAAGCGAGTGTCATGGAGGAAACCAAGCGTGAGGATGGCTAGGGGGCTGCAGTGCGGCCCAATGTTGAGGAGGTCTCAAAGGAGGTGACGACTTACTCAAGCTTCAACTTCAAAGGGGCTTCCGCATTGGTGTTTTCGGGTGGTATATATAGTAATACAATATCTATATGATGATTTCAAGTTTGATTGGTGCTGTAAGTGGAGGTGGCTCTGGGCTGCCGGCTTTGGCCTGTTCAAAGTACATTGTGATGGGGCCGCATCGCTGAAGAGAATGTCTGGGAGGGTCCGGGCCTAATGGCGGGCCTTTTCCGCACACTCCACACGGGTGGCGTGAAGTGAGTGCCAGAAAGTGCGCGGGTAGATCATGATTTGAAAAAGCGATCAAACGACCAAGCCGGTGAAGCCCATATCCTTGACTTGCATCGAGGACGTAGAGACGGGGAACAGCGTGGGCAACAAATGTGAATCTAGTGTGATTGCTGGGTCTCTCGCATAGACCAAAGCAAAAGACGACCTTTCATGTTCCTGTACACCCATAGAACCAATATCCAAGATTGAGGCCACCTCCCACATTGTTTGAATGGTTTGTCCTTGACTTGCAATATCCCGTATCATCTGAACAACATAACTTCTTCATAATGCCAGAAATGCGTCGATGATGCACAATTTCGTCTCAATGTCGTATTTGTCTTGAGGACCTACTCATACTTACTCGATCGATGAACCAAGTACGGGCTCTCGACTGGACAGTGACATTGATTTTGCTTGGACAAATTTATATTACGTAGGTGGGGTGTTTGGGGACTGCCCGCAATCTTGCGGGTGACTGTACCTGGTGGATCGGATGAACCGTGTGAAAGGGGATTGCCACGTCTACCATTGGAAACCAGGTCAACACCAACCAACAGACCGAGACCTGTTCCCTGACGCAGACAACATTGCCAAGACAACCCAAAACAAGTGGTTTGAGTTTCCCGCACCTGCCCCGCATGGGTTCATGGCTGTCCGTCCTCTTGCTGGCCTCTGCCGATGGCAAACCGTCACGTGAGCATGGACGGAGCTTTCCCGGTGACGTGCAAATCAGTCAGATGCTTGGTGGATGGGACCGGGAACCACAATCCATGAACGCTTTTCATAGCGTCGAGATGTGTTGATATATACATTGCATATATCACCAATTGATTCCATGGTCGCTGTTCTAATTACCGAGAAATTCCATAAACCCAGTTTCCATGTCTATAGATGTCAAAGCCAACGCTGTAGATCTTTTTCACCATCTAATATATTTTTTGGAGGCATTTTCACCTGGCAGGTGATCAACGCATGGAATTTGGAGGAAACTGGCCTTGCGGGGGGTTGGTTTTGCCAGTCACCAACCCTTCCCAAGTTGAGTTTGAATGTTGTTGTGCTCGGGGGGCAGGCAACATATGATCCGAACTTGCAGAAGGCAATCTGAGTTGGACAATTTATGTTGAGCAATAATACACCAAAGTATGGAAACAGAACATGGCAAAAGGCGAACGCAGTCAAACAGGGGATCGCTGTCATCCTTTGACATGAAGGAGTTACGAAATTGGACCGTCCCGGCACTCCAGCGTGTGCAAAGGTCAGTGCACAAGATATGTCAATGCCCAGACATTCATGTATGCCATATATGCCTACATTGACCCCTCAAACCACCCCAACTGATCGGCATATACGGCAGTCCCATGGAGTGTCTTAGATGTTTCCTTTTACATATCAGGGCTCTAGCTTTCAGGCCAAGATCCAAGTGGTTTCCCGGAAACAGGTTACTTCAGGTTTGCCATGATTTGCCCGATGAGCTTTCCCGCTTATGTGTAGTAGCGACTCCTGTAGCTTCCGGGGCGACATTAGAACCATTACGCCGGTGGGCTGCGCATCCCAAACGCTTTAGATTGCAAGACAAGTCAATGGCACCCACAGCCCGTTCTTGTTTACACACCCACGCCACGCGCGCCCTGTTCGCGCCCTGTTCTCCCCTGTGCAGTCACCAAGGAACCTTCTTTGTGTGCCGAACCCGCCGCTGCCTGCGGGTACCACGGGTCCGCGCTGCCACTACACGCCGGAGGTCACGCTGTGGCTCTATGAGAGCCTTGGAATGAGCTGGCCAGCGCGGTGACAAACCAGTGGAAAACGCTTTGACTCAGTGGAACACGCACCGGAGAGACTTGAGGAACTTTAATGGAACCCTCAGTTGGCCACCAGCAGCAACATGGAGTCAGCTTGGTAAGCTTGCTTTGATCAGATGTGTTTCTGTGTTTGCGTCGTTTCAACCCGTGCTCGCTGTGGTTCACATCAACTGAACAGCTGACTCTCGTCAGTGTCTCGGTGCAACTTTGCAGAATCCCATGGTTCAAGGGTGACCAGAGTGCGACTGGTCTGGACTCAACAAAACAATCGAGCGTTCGGGTACTCCTCTCCATCCAACCAACATGTGGCATGGTCCCTCTCTTCGAGGCCAACGCCCTAAACCCCCCTTGGCAAGCGAAAAGGGATCAACCGACCATTCTCCCAACTAAACCCTAAAGCTGTTCCGCCCCCATCACCTTTTTGCCTTGCGGTTTCTTGCCATCCGACTCAATCGATCCGCCGAGAATCGCCTTCGAAAAGCTGCAACTGGATGAGCTACCGCCCAAGCGCCGGAAACGACTGCGGCGAGCGATGGCCCCGTGGCCAACTGTGGGACAGTTTGGCTACCCAAAGTGAAGCACCAAAAGCCATGGGAAAGTAGCAACACCACAGGAGTTGAACCAGTGACAACATTGAACAGCTATGGAAAAGACATTAACAAATATAAATTGAAACAACAGCAGAGAACCCATGGAAAGGGAACCTGGGTTTATAATGGTATATGGTCCGACTGTCGACTTTGGGTGATCCGATGTGGTCATTGTGTTTGGCAAGGTTGGGTTTTTGACTCCCTCCAGCCTTAAACCTAAAATCTTTGGAGCTCCAGGCTGACTTTTGTTTCTTTTTGGAAGAATTTATCCAGGCCACCCAGTCGCTTGGACCTCGTTCGTCACAGCAACCAGGACAACTGTTCAAACGAAGTGAGCTGGAGGAAAGGGACAGTTCTGCATGAAGTCTGTGTTAGGGTTTCCTTTTGGAAGGGAATGTCTCTATCCCTCAAAACAATGCCCAAACCAGAACGTCCCGGCATCCTGAATCTTTGAGCCGCAATGAATTGGATTTACTTTATTTAGGACATGCCTTTGATTTCTCAGGAAAGGACTGAGTCCACTGTAAGCCAGGGCCAACCAGGTAATCAACAACCATAACGGAAGTCATTTACCACTTGTACAAGACTAAGTCATGTATCACACCGCACCAGGTCATTATCAGTCATGTATCACACCAAGTCATGATCAGCATCACACCAAGTCGTTTAAAATGAGTCACACCAGTCGTTATCAGTCATTATTGCACCAGGTCCCTTCCCTGCTCTTGACTTCGCGCCCTGGTCGCCATGCCGAGGAGGAGACGCCCTGCATTGGCCGGGGGGGGCGACTTTCCGCCCCTGCGGAGGCGCGCAGGTGACTTCGGCTGTGCAGAGTTTGTTTGTTTTTGAAGGGCGGAGACGAGAGGTTTTGGTGTGGGTTTGGTTTGGGTGAGGTTGGTTGAGTGTGAGTTGTTGTTGTTTGAGCTGGCTTGGGTGCTTGGGTTGGGTGAGTCAATGTTTCCTTGGTTCCCAAAAAGAATCTCTTGTTGGCAAAGTCACAAGCGACCAACCTTGCAGATGTTTAGTACAGTATTGTCTTGTTTGGTTGGTCCACATCCAGGAAGTCAAACATATGAAGGACTACTTCACCCTGTCTCTAGAGTATCTTTGATTATGTATAGTGTTTGGAAATTGTCGTGCACGATCTTCTACTTCTAAGACCCTATGCACTCTGAAGAACCCAACATAGAAGAGTGAATTCAACACACATGTTGGACAGCATGTAGTTTTTCATTACACACCTACAAAGCATTGGATTCTCTCATTTTTTTCCAGGACTCACCCGAGTCACCAAGCAACGCCGAACGCCCAGGCTACCAGTACGATGTGTGCACCTTCCAGATGAGACAATTTGAGGATGGCAAGCCCTTCAGCGTGTCTTGGATGAATGTTGATTCATCGTGTTCAATTGGTGTTCTCATCATGGGTGTTCAGTGTGTTCTTGTTTATTCAGCCTGCAGGTCAATGATGACCCTCGGATGCACTCCGGTATGGTCAGTTGAGCCCATCAAGTTCTCACTGTCCCACGAGTCAGAGGGTGCACCCTATAGGATTTTTGGCAGGATTTCTCCCAGGACTGGGCAGTAACACGCGCTTTGTTTTGCTGCTTAGAAACCTTGGTGAGTGGGTCCTGCCAGAGGTTTTGATGATATTGCTACTTGTCATTCTCATTTCTCGATTCATGCTACACCAACCAAACATTCGGAAAACTCATGACACCTGTGGACCCTTTCCGGGCTTCGGGCCTCTGAAAAAAACCTTCACCAACTCGCCCGCCATTTTCAGCCAGGTCTTCTTGCCCAGCGGCCTGGTCGGCACGAAGTGTTTGCGAACATTTGCGCGGTTCGTGGGGAGGGATGATCCCAAAGCGGTATTGGATCATTCTTGAGTCTGAAACCGGACTGCTGTGGCTTGACCGACTCCGCCCTTTTCTTTTTTTTGCATCTTCTTGGGCCTTCCATTCCTTCCATATAGTCGTCCTCCTGGTTCCCAAGATACTGGTAGGTAAGGGTTTGAGATTGCTTTTGCATCTATTGAGCCAAGCCAGACCTGGGGGATGACTAACCCTCCAAGAAGTTGGAACAACTTCTATGTTTGCTTTGTGCATGGGCTGGGCCTTGGCCTGATTTGGGAGGGTGCTTGTCTGAGCTTTTGCCATCCTGCTCCCGTGACACTTGGGGGGGGTTGTTGGATGGATTAACGTGTAGAACAAAAGCTTTTACCTACCATGTAGGAGCTGGAGCTGGCTGAGTGTAGGAGCAGGTCTTGCAAGACTTGCATCTTTGGGGACCTCTCCCAATCTAAAACCATCCAAGAACCCCTCTTTTAAGTTGGGATCCAACCCCACCCGGTCAATCGTTTGGGAAAGCTCTCCCATCCACATGAGCTGAGAACTTGGGCTCTCAGCTCCTCTCAGGCGATGATCAAGACAAGATCGCTGAGTGCCCTGGACAGCAGGTGGCAGCTGGGAAGAGGGGTTTACACACAAATCTACAGTCTTTTTCTGCGCATTTATAGGCTCATAATTATGGAGCACAATTCAACGGATTTCATGAACACAACCTGACAATTTAGAATGTTTGATGAAGAACACCGCCGTTGTTGGGTCCTTACGGCAAAAAAAACTACATGTCCGATCCTTTGCTGCCCCTCGTGACCTCGGCATCTCACGGAAAACACGTGTTTTCCACGTGTTTTTCCCTCCGGTTTAGTCGGTGGCCACAGGTGTGACGTGATGCCCTGGCTGATCCGCTTTGCCTTGGACGACTCCGAAGGACACCGACCGGACACAGATCTTTGCGAGCAGAGCGAGCACGCAGTCTGCACGGCTGGAGCAGTCTGCACGACGGGTGGAATTGGTGGTGGGGGGGTATATTATGAGCCTTGGATCCCATGACCAGGTGGCCTTTGTGAGTTTTGAGACTTAGGTTGTTTAGATGTGAAGTATGCTGTTTACTGACAGCATCATCGGCTGAGATTGTGGTGAGGTGATATACCTCAGATTCTTGAAACACAGGAGGTGATAGTGCTCCGTTGATGTGGGGCCCAGTTCGTCCCAAGACACGTTGATGAACTGGAAACCTCTTGCTAGAGGCCCTCAAAACAAGATAAGTACAAGGTCAAGCTCTATAATTCTCCACAAGAGTATATGCTTTGAAGTGACCGGATGTTCATCAATGTTTAGGGATCTCAACGACTCTGCAATCTGTTGCTTCTTTTATTGTGCCAACCGCTGGATTTTTTTGTTTCGTCCATCAGCTTGTCAGGACACGGCCTTGCCATAGACGTCGGTGCGGGCGACTCTGGCTCGTGCAGCCCGACCCAAACAGATTTGAGATGTGCCTTTGTGAGAGAACATGGTGGAAGCGCCAGACTCACTATATAGACGTCCCCTTGCTTGTGAGGTATATTCACTCATATATATAATATAATATAATATATATTGGGTTCTGTCCCAGTAAACCTGTAGCAGTCGGTGAGAAAGGCCCGTACTAATCATCATCCACTAGGTCCTGGTAATGGGATAGACCCAACATGTATACAATATACTGTATACCTTTTTTCTTCCCAGCTGAGCTGGATCCATAGCCATAGTGCAAAATGTCTTTGGATCGCCGGGGTGCTACTAGAAGCTTTGCTGCGAAAGGATTCTGTCAGCCCAGTCGAGTTGAGGTACTTGGCCTTTGCTCAGTGAGGGTCATGTCGTCCATATGTTTGAGACGGGTGACTTGGAAGAACTCACAGCACTAGGAGTTGGGATGTTTTTTCTTCTTTTAAATAGACTACTAATTGAGTGGACACCCACTCACCCAAAACCACCCATTTGGAACTCCTGGCATGATTGCTTTCTGGTTCATTTCAGAAGATTCGGCAGTTCGTTGAACACACATATAGGAAGTTCAGACATTAGACAGTTCAGAGTCCACAGTGAATCTTTCCCACGACTAGGTAATCCACACACAATATGATTAGCACTTAGGCGGATAGTTGAATCAGTTGAGAATACGGTATCTTTTGGCAGCTCCTCCCTCTGCAGCTCCTCGTCCTTCAGGCTATGTGAACCAATTGGAGCGCGACTTCATCGAGCTAACCCGGGATGTGAATGGCTGGCAGGAGCGAGCGACGCTGCATGGACCAGTACAGGATGATCTGCAACTTGGATGGCCCTATTCGACTAGCAAGTGTCCGTTGCTGTTTGCACGCGGTTTCGGGGATTCCTCGTCCAATTTGGGTTAAAATTCCAACCAAGAGATTCAACTGCTAAGAAACTATTGAACCCTACAGGAACAAACAAATTATTCGCATTTATTCGATATTTGTGTGCGGCTCACTATACATCTTTTGGACCTCAACCTACATCCATGAATCCATGTAATGCCTCAACAAAATGATATCCCAAGAGCCCTCGGCCGAGAGGACCACCTCGCTGATCGCTGCAGAGGTACATGGCGGAGCTCTTGAAATCCGCAGAGAAGATCCACCTCTTGAAGATTGATGTCGACGACCGACCCAGCGACCCGTCGGACAAGACCGAAAGCCCGACCCAGACACAGGAAGACGGGAAGACGGGAGGACGGGTTGGAGCTGGGGGTGGTTTCGAGTCTGGGTGATCCAAGAGAGGTTACATAAGTGACCTGAAACTAGAACCGTAACCCGGGGTACCCAAACTGGGATAGTCTATAGTACTAGTTCGGGTTCTTCAACCTCTCAAAGTCAGGACCTGACTTCTGGTGTTTTTTTGTGGTGGTCAGGAGTCGTGGAGTGATGAGGAGCCAGGTCTCGGGTCTCCATCCCTTTCGGTCTACGAGAACGCCAGCGGAAGACCACGGAACACCGGCCCTGGTGCACCAAGGCAAGCAGAGCCAATCGCTCCAGGACTATGGTGTGGCCACTTTTTAATTTTGGGGGGTAGAGAACATTTGCTCCCCTTCTGGCTACAACATCCAAATTACTGACTTGGTTAAAAATCACACTCTGCCCTGCACCTCTGTGACTAAGGCTACGAAGCTGTCTTTGCTGGAGTGGCTCCGGTGCTCAACAAGACGGACGACAGCTGCTGGCTCACTTCTGCGGTTGGTTGAGGGAGTGGGACAAGACATTACACAACCCCTTACTGATGGGACCCACTTTAAAGGGATGAACGATACAGGATTGAAATGACGGGTGGTTCCATTGGAACAAGGGATTGAACCCTCGAAATTCCCAAAGTGATACACCAATGGTCACCCTGACTGCCAAACAGCTCAGCTAGAGACAGTCACATGATCCATTCAGTGTGGCAGTCAGCATCACTGAGCTAAAGTCATTGAACCCCCTGGTTTAAAGACACATGACTCACATGACTTTCTCACAATCCTCTGCAGTTTGTGGCTTCACTCGTGTAACGAGTCTATGAGAGAGAGAGAGAGAGAGGGAGGGAGTAGCTCCACCAAAAAAAGGTCCGAGATGGCAGAGAACCAGGTCTCAAGAATCCTTGTCAAGGCCATCGAGAACATCCTCACTGGCTTTAAGTTCACAATCATAATCATCATATTCATATTCCGATTCCCATACCTTTAATGACCCCCGCCCAACCACCAGGGCGGATTGACTAAGATAGCCATCTTCATTTCATCTCATTGGTAGGAGTAATCATGGCACAGATCTTCCATGTGAGACGTGTCCCTGTTCTTTATCAGGGCCCTTCAGGTCAACTCCCAGGATCTTCTCGTGGTGGTTACGACCCTTGGGTGTCATCCGTCGATGTCCTCGTCGGCAGGAGATCCTTCAGATCGAGATGATCGAAGAAGAGATCGGCCGCGACGGCATGCTTTGGATCATGGAGCCGGGGATTGTCGGCTTTTGCGGCGTTCGGAGCGGGTTTTTTCGTTGGTGGTTTGATCTGGTCGGAAAGCAACTTCAGACCGGAGACCTGACATGTTTTCTTTTCGACATCTTTTGCTCCCAAGGTTCTTTCAAGATTTTTCAAGATCTCAAATTTCAGGAGAGATCCTTGAATGCAAGTTCTTTCCACTTCCTCTGGAATTTGAACGTGTTTTTTCCTTTGAATGGCAGTTCATTCAACATCATCCTATCGAGTGTGTTTTCATTCTTTTGCCCCTTCCAGGCCCAACTCCACTTGGCTCTGGCAGTGGTCTTTCAACATCCTTCCAGTCAGTCAGGAGACCTTCCACTCTTTCGGCTTCGACTTCTATGGCCTGGAGGATCTGGAGACCTTTCCACGGTACCAGCACGACAGCCTGGGCCGCGCCTGTGAGCACGGCGACGTGGAGGGCCGCCATCACTCGGCAGCGGTGGAAGAGCCCTGGACGCGGGGAACAACACGCGGGCCGCGGGCCGCGGGCCGCGGTGTGGCGTGGGGTGCGGGGTGGGAGAGGGTGCTGAGGAGTTGGTTTCAACAGAGAACCGTAGCAAACAGCCAACAGGGATTCAAATCTTTTGAAGTGACTTGGAGTCACAACACGGAGTCTATGGTGCATTAAGAGGCACGCAGTTCTTTTTCTGCACGGATCCTTTTGTGAACTGTGTGCAGTGGCTGTCCATGAGATGGATGATTGTGTGCAGTGGCTGGTGCAGTAGCGGCACTGATGCAGGCATGATGCAGGTCATTGTTTCACCTCCATGAATACCGCGGAACCCCGCGGATCCCCGCGGGTGGACTGGTTTTACTCTGCGGGCTTCATGTCACGGTGGTTGCATAGGGACTTGGAGACTTGGGCGTTGGAGGGACCAAACAGTGGAGGAATTGGTGAGTTTCAGAGGTGAGTGGCTTGGCACCCCAGCACCCCAAAGCTGTCTTAGACGGAGGGAGGGGGTCCATTCTTGTCAACCATGCCAGACGTTGGGAGATTGTGCCATCTACTGTGAAACCACTGTAGTTAAAAGGAAATGCCCAACATGCTTGACTGACGTGCCGGTGGGTTGAGTGAGGCGGCCGATGGACTCCCCATCTTGCTTTCTGCATCCGTCATTGGTCTGAGGATGGGACGATGCCATATGAATATGGCGCGGATGGTCCCAAGCACTTGCGGATGTTTCCCATTTGCGCCTCGGCCTGGCTGGTGAGGGGACCGAAGGTGGCAAAACGATGGGCCTCATTATTCGTGAGCATCTGTGGGCCTCAACAATATTGGGCAAACAATTTCAATACAGTTCTTGGAAAGGATGTACTTTTTCCCTCCATTTGGGGATCTCTATAAGAACATGTTGAGATAGATCCCTGACCAAGTTTGCCCGAAATCCTTTCCGGCGAAAATGGATAAGGGAATTCTCGAGTCCGACAATCCGGCCCATATTGCATATCTATGGCATAGTATGGTCCATATACTTTAGATATCTTTAGATTATAGTTTAGTATCTTTTAGACCTCACTCGAGTCCGACACAGCTGAAAGCAATGAATTCAACGCAAGCCCCTAGGCCAGTGTGGTGCAAAGGTCGTGGGAGGAGGGCGCGGAAACAAAGATCCATTGAAATGCCCCTTGGCGAGAGCTCGCTTAGCGCGTACAGGGAGGCTTAAAGCAACGTGGCAGGGATTCTGGGATTCAGCTGAGAGTTTCTATTCAGTAAAGCTCCCACATCTGGAGGGCGGGAGGTGTTTTCCTTTTCATGTCATGTATCCTTTTGCCACATGTGTTGGTTTTGCAAGAGGATGGATCGTTACATAATATGTTGGACCCTTGAGCCCTTGAACATTCGAGTTCACCACAGGATGTGCATCCGAGTCTAGGGAGTTGGACGCATGAGTGACTCAGACGCATGTGTCAGACGCATGGAACTGGGAAAGCTGGAGGTTCACAGTCGATGTTTTCCAAGTTTTGAGACACATCAAGCGCATCAAGCGCATCCACGACCAAAGAATCGTATCAACGCTTTTCCTTTTTCAAAGTGGGATGCATTCTAGCTCCGTTCAGAATCTCAGAATTCATTCATGATGCCAGATGTTTTTTTGTGGGTGGTTCTGCTGGTCCTTGGATCCTCACGTTGGAGCCCTTCCAGCCCAGGCCGTGCGCAATTTGCCTTCGTGCGCCGCGCGGGGCATGTGGCGCGGCCACGCGTGCAGGAGCGCTTCGGCTCCTGCCAGACACTCTGCGGCGCTGCAGAGGAGCTGTGAAAAGAGCCGCGGACCGCGGGACTTGGTGCCTTTGGGGGCTTTTGTTGGAAGTCAGGGAGGTACACATTTAGCATGATATACTATCCAGTGGAACTGGGAGTAGTGATTGAGGTGAAACAACATAATAGTATATTACAGATCTTACAGATCTGTTCTGAGTGAATATCCATTTCCATACAGAACTTGCTGGGATCCTGCATTCCTTTTCGGAGGAATACCTGCAGCACCAAGGCCGTGGTGCCCTTGGGGAGAAGGAGCAGAAGCTCAAAGCCGTGCGTGCGGCCCGGAAACTCAAGGTGAGGAGAATACTCTTGGATTAGCATGTCAGATGTCATATATGGATTGTTCAGCCCATGTCACAGGATGTCATATTGTCATATGTTACTAACTGTTACTATTTATAACTATGTTATTAGTCTTAGTGTATATTTGGTGATATTCCAAACTATTCTAAACTGTATGAATCGGATTCTTTAGGCCTCTTCCACCAACTGATCCGCTGCCCTTCGTTTCTTCGCAGCCCGCTCACGGTCGGTCGCCCCGAGGCACGGAGACCCCGCTCACGGTCGCCCAGCCAAGACGGCAGGCCGCGGCTGGGTGGGTGGGGCAGGGAGCGAAGCCGAAGCGGTGCCGTGGATGATCGTGGGTGTGGGGAAGCGCGGAAGCGTGGGTAGTGGGACAGAAGGAGCCGGAGGGAATAGGCCATCGCACACAACCCAGTGGTTTGCAGGGTGAGTTTGAAGGCGGGGTAGATGTGTTTGATCGTTTTTTGTTGCGGATGGAGGTGAATTTACCTGTTGGTCAATTGGTTTTGGAGTTGGTCAGAGAACGAGGATAACATTTTTATACAGGTGTTTTCCTTTGCAGGCTGACTTAGGAGATTCTGTGGCAAGTTGTTTCTGGGGCAAAGCCCATAGATCCGCATAGATCCTTTCGGTACACCTCTCTGCAAGCCAAGATGAGTGCTGGCTGAAAAGCGACTTTGACTTTTGCAAAGAGGGATGAGATTGGCTCCGAGCATCAACCAACTACAGGATCCGTATTTATTTGGGGGGTTGAGGAGTTCAGGGGCCTGGTCACGTTGTGTGTTTTTTTTTCTACTAACGCTAATATCCTGCTATAGCTAGCGGGGTAGCGGCCGCGGGCGCTGCAAGATGCTCGACTTCAGATCGGGCTTTACACCAAGTGGCAAAAGCCTGACAACGCCCAAGGCGTGACCATGCCTGGGAAGCCAAACCCGTGGGGGAACGAGAATAACCCTAAACCCGAAACCCACTTGACGTCCAATAGGCCCTAATACCCTAATACCCTAAACCCTCACTAAATCCTGAACCCTATAGGCCCTAAACCCTAATACCCTAATACCCTAAACCCTCACGAAATCCTGACGTCCTTGGGCTACATCATCCATTTTTGGACCGCCGCTCAATGTCTTTCGCCGACCCACACCTGGCCGCCCTTTGGCTCAGCTGCCCGCCCTTTAGGCTCGGCCGGCGATCGAAGGGCTTGAGATGCCCCAGAGAATTCATCAGACTGACATAGACTGACGTATACATACATAATTATACTCATAATTATATATATAGAATCATAATACTATTTTAATATAGTACGTAATTTCAATGTAGGTAGAAATAAGATGTCATACGTGGAGTGTTTGACATGGAATTTGGGGTGTTCTGTTCAGCTTTCAGCTTTCAGAGCCTTCTTCTTTGATTGCCCTTCGGCCATTCTGAAGGGTCAGTAGAAATCCCAAGAGATCAAAAGGGATTGTTCCATGTAAGTAGGAGTTGTTTGCAGTAGTTCCATTTGAGTGTCACTCGAGACACTTTGGAAATCGCCTCTTTCAACAGGTCTTTGAGAAAACTCATAGGGATAAGACTTAGCTCAAGCCCCGTAGCCAAAACCGTAATAACCGATTTCTCTCAGCAGGCTTTTGCCTTTCTTCGCTCCACGTGATGGCCCCAAAAGCGAAGGTCAAGGCCAAAGAAAATCGGAAGGCCAAGGCCAAGGCCCTGGCGGCCGCCCCACCGGCTGCGGCAGCGGGTGTCTTGCGGCAATTGGACCTCGTGAGTGGCCGGGGGTGGGGTGGGGAAATTGGAACCTCATTGATGTTTTAAGGTTCTTAGTGTGGGATCCCAATCACTGATTGTTGGGAAACTATCTCTGATTGTTTAGCAAAATTGGGTTTGCTATTTGCCCTGTTGTTCTTGTCGTGTTCTACAGTTCTGATGGGTTGCATTTTTCGCTTTTGATCTCCTTGCCAGAAACACTGCAATGATGTGTAGCAGGTGTTCTTTTCTCCCAGAAATGGCCACATGGGCACAGGCTTCATGATAGTTGAAATCACCATGAAACAGGATGACACGAAGCAGGACAGTGGACAACAGTGGATCACCAGCACTTGGACATCACCATGTTGAAATCCAGTTCATGGGCACAGGCGTCTGGTCTCGGCACGGTCCTTTGACTTCGGATGAAATTCGATGACGCAAGCAGGTGGTGTTCACTCCTCAAATCGTGGAGTCCGGATCCGTGGATCAGTGGGGTTCCTCGCTCTGTCTGGTCACGGCTTCCGCCCCTGGGGGCGAACCACAGAGCGATTCGCTGGATGGGACGAAGGAGTCGTTTCAGTGCCATTCTGTGGCATGAAAGAAGGCCTAAGGAGGACGTTGAAGGGCATGTCCAAAGGGTTGGCATTGGACACCTGAGAATGAACGGTCACACCTGAAAGTTTGGTCGAGTGAGCGAAATGCTTGGGACACCGATCCGTCTTCCAAGTGCGTGTGCGCATGCGTGTGTGTATGCATGCAAGTGGCTGAGGTGGCTTGCCAGAGGCGCTGCGCTTGCGTTTGCCCTTTATGGCACTGGCCGGCAAGCTGCAAGGCCACATGATCCACCAGGCCTGTTGGAAAACATCTTCGAGCCACAGCCCAAACCTCTCGTTGCAAGAAGGAATGTCTAGTTGCAAGTGATACTTTTCCACTTTACCAGTGATACTTTGTGCTACTTGTGGCTATTTGATCAATTGATGTGCCAGAGGGAAAGGGTGAGCACTCCTAAGATCCAGCAATCAGGTGTTTTGTCCCGCTTGGTTTAGTAACTGGTTGCTGGCTGGGCCTGCCTCTTTTCTCACCAGGTTTCAAGGTCTAGCACGGGAATGATGAGTGGATGATGTGGACGGAAGAGTTGAGGAAGAATCATCAATTTGTCAATGATGATACAATATAATGATGTAAGTTTAGATGGGATCGGAATGGATGGATCTATAGTAAATGAACTCGACACCTTGATACGAACAGGCCTCAAGTTTCGGGGGACGCTTCTACTTAGAGCTTCTGCTTAGGCATGGATTTTGCCTTGACCCTAAGGTTCAGTGGCAGGGATCGCTAGCGTTTTGACCCTCACAACGCTCGGGTGTTGATAAGTTTTGGACCCTTCACCAAGATGTAGCAGTTGCTTCGGGTTCAGGGTCACCTGTAGAGCGGACCCACGAGGGAGAATCCTCGGAGAGCCCACCCATATGGGAGGGTCCTTAAGCCACGCAGTGACGACCAACCAATCATGGCGTGAGACCGAAATGACGTAGACCGAGCGCGTGGAGCTTTCGAGACCCCAACAGTAAGAGGTTTTGGACTGTTTGAGGGATCTATAAGGATGGATTACATTTGGCGACTCTCCGGCTGAAAAAAAACGCCTCGGTGGGCGTGAGTGTGCGAAAACTCAGTTCTTTTATATATTTTTTATAATGCCTGTCCTTTCCTTGTGTCGCATCCGCAGGTGAAGGAGATTCAATCCTTGGTTTCAGCTGCTCGGCGCGTTCGGCGCATCATCCTCGGTTCCTCCTCGTTCCGCACGCGCCGCGCGGTCTTCGCTGTCTTTCTCATCGTCGTTCATCGTTCGAAACTATTTTTGTTCCGGATTCTTGGGCCGTTTTCAGCTCCAAGTCCTTGAAATACCGGCTTCCCGGGTCACCGAGACATGGACACGTGTATCGCGAGGATTCCGGGCTGGCCAATCCTTGTTCTACAGTTGGAAGCGGCTAGGTCTAGGTCTGATTGGCTGCAACAACTTCAACTTGCACAGAACAAAGACATCCTGCCCCAGTTAAAGCAAAAAAGGAGCGAGACACCTCATAGAAGGACTGCCCCATCAATCCACGGTCACCAGCGTGTTCACCAGCGTGCACAACCAGGAAGGTGTCCCTGCTCCTCAGCCCTTGATCTTTGGTGCTGCTCCGCCGCGGCCAGCACCGCTGCCTCTGGAGCAGCAACGAGAGAGGACGCAGAATGCAGCGACCTGGATCAGTTGCGGAAAGGGATGAGAAGCAAGAACTGCATCAAAATACTCTCAAAAGGCACAGTACTGGACTCGACTGCCAGGAACCTTGTTCTTACTCTGGGCACACGCTTTCAAGTTGTTGTTGGGGGCTTGGATCGGCGAATGGAAGAGGCTGGAGATGGTAAAACCAATCCCTGACACTCCACTTACAATTGGGCTGCCGGCCCGAACTCAAGGAATGAGACAATCCCCCCGGCCTGAGCCAAAAACTCGTCCAAGAGTGCGGGAGCGACGGTGTTATACCCAGTCGCGCCGGGAGACCTTGAAGCGACCCGCTGCGGGGGGAGTTTCGATCACTTTTGGAGGGCTTCTTCTGTGCTCGGGAAGAATCTAGGAATCCCGTTTCAACCGCAGCCTGGCAGCTTGTGCTACGAGGTGAACAAGGCTCTGGAGCTGGTCCAGGGCTGGCATCAACGCGAATGCTTGTTCCTGGGCTGTGGAGACGTGACAGAGCCCGGTTGTTCAGCTTCAAGACTAGTCCATGTTGGCTGATTTTGCGTATTTTTTTTCGCGTGTGGGAGCAGTGACTCAGGATGAACAAACAGCGGTGTTATGTTGGAGGATGTTGGAGGAAGAGTTGTGAATTCCAGAACTGCTCTTCACTGCGCATAACGTTGCGGGTCAAGCATGACCCGCTTATTGCAGGTGAAGACCCAAAAGAAAGACGGGGGGCAGTTTGGGAGATCTTTTCACCTGCGTATCAATTTCATTCCATTTCTATTTGGGAATGGTTATACGGTTAATTATCCCAATTGGCTGCTGTTCTCTTTTGCACAGGGTTTGAGCCGGTGGTCACCTGTGACATAAGAAGTTGGATGAACATGGATGAACTAGCACTGCTCCAAACCTCACCCAACCTCGATCAACCAGCTCGTAGAGGAGCCGGGCTGTGGGCTTTTGATAGCAAACAGACATGGTTAGGGCTTCCCTGTTGGCCGTTTATTCGAGTGTTTTAATCGCTCCCATTTTGGGTGTTTTGTTCTTCCCGATATTCGGTGTTTTTTTCTTTTTCTGTTCACGGTTTTTGGTTGGGGTGTGCACAAGAGATTGGTCGTTGTTATTGTTGTTGTGGTTGTTGTGGTTGGTCGTTGTTGTGGTTGGTCGTTGTCGTCGTCATCGTTGTGGTTTTTGTTGAACCCCATTTGTCGCTTCGCACATTGGCGATACTTGACGGAGCTCGGCCGGCGCGGCTGCCGCAAGAAGAGCTTCATGGATGGCCGGAAGCCCCCCAAAAGGCCCCCCCCGGCAGACGGACGGGAGCCCAATGAACATGCTTTTTGTTTACTTTGTTTTTGTCAACGGGTTAACCATGCGTTCAGGTTCAGGAGCAAACTGGGCAAAACCCTAAGGGTGTTCAAACAACACAATGGCACAACCGTTCAAAATACCCCCCAAAAAACACAGCTGAACACGCACGTTTGGTGTCAGGTCGTTGGGTTGTCTGCAGCCCTTGAGGTCCCCATGTCCCTACGCCTTAGGACCACTCGGATGGCTTGATGGTCCGATGTCACCGTTCGCGGGTCTGGAGCTCTTCATCCTCAAGTACCAAAAAAACAACACAACCACGCCATCAAACACGCGCGCAAACACACGCACACATGTTTTCACAGGTTCTGGGCAGGTGAGAAAGTAAGCTTTGGTGCCCGGACAGCTCGGACCGGTTCAGCTCGGACCTCGGTTCAGCTTCCTCAGGCTGCAGTGCTTGCGTTCCGTGGAACCCCTGGACAGCTTCGCCGCCACCTGGCACGAGCTGCGCCGCAGCGCCCTGCAGCGCTGCGACGAGACCAGAGCCCGCTTGGCGGAGGTCTCCGGTGACTGGGGTTGTGACGAGGGGGCCGGGTCTGCTTCCACTAGTCGGTCGCAATGTGGGCGATCTGCTGCGAGATGGTGCTGGTGATTGTGTTTAGATTAAAAAAAACACTGTCCATGGGCGTTATGCAGGCCTTCCCTAAGAACATATCGTTGAATTCATGCAGGCCTTCCCCATGGGGTGCCTTTTCAAGTTATCAAGCTGTTCGTGCGTTCAGTCCACACCGAACACATACACAACCGAAGATGATTTGCAATCTCTTATCCTTGACTCACTAAAATGCGGGCCGGCAGACAACTGAAACTTGGAAGTCAAAGTCTGCTGTGGCTTCGAGAGGCAGTTGGTCAAAACGTACAGTGCTCATTCTTCAGTTCCATTTAAATTGCTGCTATAGTTTCAATTTTGGCTTTCATGAAAAGGATCAAACTGCATGTGTTCTTGGCCTGGCGGCTGCTTGCTATGGCACGCGGAGCTCGCACATGTCTTCTTCGGCGTGCGACGTCTGGGGGACTCCGCAAGCAAGGCGTCAGCCCCCCTTCGCCATCCACGGCATCAACTCCAGCAGTTGGAGTGCACTCAGCTTAGACCTGGTGTTCTGACCTTCTCACCTGACCTCCATGAATTGGTTCTTTTTCTGGTGCTGAGTGCTGGCAACTCCAAAAAAAACACCACCTTCTGGCCATTCAGGTGACCACGCGGTGTTACTCGAGTTCATCGGCGGCGGCTACGGTGCCAATGTGGCGGCCGCCTGGGTGATGCCGCAGGCGACCCGCGGGTCCGACCCGAATCCGAACGGGTCAAAGGATCCGACTCGCATCCTCGGGTCAGGGGTCTTGGGTTTCTCACCAATCCCGGTTTTCAGAGAGCAGGAAAGGGCTACTTGGAGAGTTTGGGATAAGAATGGATAAGTTCAAAACGGGGAAATCATTGCAAAACGGTCATGTTTGGTGGGAACAACCATTCAGACGGTGCCCTAGCTTGTTGAGAAAAGCCCCATGTAGCGGTAATTTCCAGAACAAGGCTGGTTGGGTTTCATACGATCATCATTCTTTGCGAGTCGCACCAGTTTCAGTTTGTTGTTTTCTTCACACTCGGCCGCCCATGGAGTTAGCGCTTGCCAGGAGGATTGGAATGCCTTCAAGGACTACGTCCGGCAGAAACCCGCGGAGTCCATTTCGAACGAGAGCCCCGTCATGCCAGTGGATGTGTGTGAGAATGCCCAGGGTGGGTGAGCAAGTATGGACACCCAATGGGATTTGTCCTATAGGATTTCAAAGTTTCACCCACAGCTCATGACATTTAACTTGCATTTCTCTATGTTCTTTTTGCGCGTGCACTCTATTGGACGTCCACACCTGGCAAAAATCACAGACTCCTGTCTGAATTGGTCTGGACTATCCAGTCCTACGACCAGCTGGGAGGTACTCCAGGTATTCAGTTCTTCCTCCAGGTCCAGTTCATCCGGATCTCAGGTCCCTCCCGGTCCGCGGCGCTTCGCCACGGGCTCCGGACCTCGTCCTCTTAGGAGTCTCGGAGGGCGGACTTCGGACGAGTGCTGCGCCTCGGCGGGGTCGGTGGAAGGAGCGGAGATGGGGCAGGATCGGAGTAGATCAAAGTCATGGAGCGACATGGAGCCAACATAGAAAGGTTGAGCAAGACGTTTTAAAGAAGTAGAGTGAAGCACCTATTACTATATGATACTATATGAAGAGATGATCATGAATCATGACAGTGTTTTTGTGTGACACGTTAGGAGATCTTCTGACATTTGGTTGCTCGTGTCATGTAAATGTATGACATTTGATGACTGATGGCCCTCCAAAAAAGAAGAACATGTGACTGGTTGCCTATGTTGATACTCAGTGCTGTGGGCCCAAGGTTTGCAGAAACAGTTCTCTCAAAGAAAGCGTGGATATTTCCTTACTGTAGATGGATGATCTTTGAGGGTCACACTGTAAGCGAGGTTGCAACCCTAAAGAGTTCACCCATGTTCACCATATTTAGGTTCACCATATGAGGATTTGATCAAGATCTATGGTGTGGGTCGGCCCTCCACTCAGTTCCTCTAGAGTGTGGACCCAGAGAATCTGCTGGGACCATGTCGTGATTTTGGAGACTCTTTCCGCCTTCTGCCGAATGAATTCGACCTTGAAAAGATTTGACAGCCACCACCACCTGAGTTGAATTCAACCTGAGTTGACAAAGACCCTGAGTTGACAGCTGATTTGACAACCACAACCAGCACCACCCCGAATCAATTCGACCTGAGTTGACAGCCACTACCTGATGAGCTTCGTCCAAGAGTCCACTGACGCGCTACGCGTGAATGGCTTCCTGGCGGCCTTCCCCGATGGCGCTTTCGGCACGGAGGACCTATTCTATGCTGCTGGAGCCGCAAAAGAAGGGCCAAACGTGTGACACGCGGGGTGGAGTGGTTCTGGAGTGGAAAATGGCTACCCTTATTTTCCAGGGAAATGGCTTGGGAGTCAGTTCCTGGGTGGGACTTGCGAAGGGAAATGGCTTGGAAGAGTTGTGCGACGGCATGCCGATGTGCCATGATGATTTGTTCGGTGAATCTTTTGAATCCTGCTACACAAAGTGTACAAGGAGTCACATGTCGGGGTGGTGTGGCTCGTCCCATCCAGTGAGTGGATGTTCTGGGCACTCCTCCCCTCCATGGATAGCACCCCTTTGAAACTGCTGATATGCGGCGTGTGTAGTAGTTCATTACCCTCCCTCCAACTGGAAGTGGAGTTCACCCCCTTCTTGGTATCCGGAACATCGTCTTCCTTTCGGGGTCAGAACGACCACATCACCATGAGGACGTTTTTTTAGGGCGGAGTACCTTCTCAATCAACCGGGATCAACATTCGAAGCCCGGGCATTGCCACCAGAACATTCTACACCCAGCCCCAGACACGACTAATGGGACTGCCAGTCCGGACTGCCGCCCCAGCCAGACCCCCAGTCAACCACCCCTGGCCGTTTCTCGGCAGTCCGGACTGGCAGTCCCATTAGTCGTGTTTGGGTAATGGCATGGCAAGCAGGATGTGGCCAAGGGAACTATAGGCTATCCTTTGGCTCCCCCACTATAGTCCTATAGGGTCCTTCAACCTCTGTTGGTGTGGGTGTGGGTGTGAACTTCATCCGGAAGACCCCGCCTTTCGTCATCTCGCCCCGATGGCCCTGACGGCATCGATGTTGGTCGGGTCCGTTTGTTTCGAGCTACACCGGTCTGTCAGGGAGACCCCATCCTAGACACGACCTGTCTGAGACTGGACCTACTGGCACATGGGGGTCGCTGAGTTTAGGGGTCAATGTATGCGTGGTATGTTGTTCCAGTCCCATGAGAGTCTTAAGTGGAGTGGGCATGGGCATGAAGTAACATGGCCCTTCACCAGTCAACTCTTGAAGAACACTGTTTCGAGGTATTTGCTTTGCTACGACGGTATTTGGCTTACTACAGCAGTTTGGGTAGTCTTATCTTCAAGCGGAGTTAGTGCCTCCGCCTCCTGGTTCGATCGGGTTCCAAATGGGTTTTTGTGATGAGATGTCGTGCTACGAAATGAGACGTCCTGCGCTTCTGCCACGATTTAATCTTCAGGTGCTGCAATCACTTACCACATGATGGGCCTGCTGGCAGAGACAAGTCTTTCCGCGGCTTGCATTTGGTGATGTGTTCTGCTGTAATCATGCGGCAGAGAAACAAAGGCCACATGCAGGAGACAGCAGCGGTGTGCAGGGATATGCAAGTGATGCCAGTGTGGAGAAGGCCTCAGACCCTCTTATTTTCCGGAGGTGCGTGCTTGGCATGCAAAAATGCCATCAGAGTTGGATAGAATCAAACATATTTGGACATTGAAGTTGGTTATGACGTGGGGATTCGTTACGAAATGGTCTCTTACATGTGGGTGTTCCAGGAATCTGTCAAGAAAGGTGGAGCACACACCCCAGGTCAAGCCCTTGTACACCCCAGCTTTAGGGCATGGAACCAGGAAAAGTGGTTCTTTGCTTCCAGGTTTGTGGTCATCGTTTGTGGATGTTGGAATTCATTATGGCTTGGTTGTCACCATTGGCCATTAGGTTTCTGGATTGTTTTTGAACAAATGTGGGCCATGCCCTGGTTTTGCTTAAGGCATTGGTTAAATCCACCTACCGTGAATATGTCTTTCCAGGTTCCTGGGATCCACAAATCCCAGATGTGAATGACTAGTGAACACAAAAGTTCCATAGTCTAAATCCTCTTTACTTTGGGGTGGTTCATGGGTGTCCCCCCCTATAAATCTTATAATCACTTCATTCTGGAGCTATGATTAGATGTTCCTTAAGCAAATCGACCAAGATCAGCTTCCGAACCATCTGGATGACCAGCCCAACCCGGCAGCGCGTTCTTTCGGAGGCAAAAGGATGGAAGCCCAGAGGAGCGGCGTGGAGACCGGATCCCGCCGTTTTGATCGGGGAACACCGCATGGAGCGTTGATCCATTGCTTGGACAACTTATTCTACAGATGCGATCATGGCCTGGAGATGCCACACCATTCTGGTGGGGGTGGATTGAAAACAACATCAACAGTACTGTACAGTGTTTGTTATTGTTCTTTTGGGAGGGAGATTTGGTTCTCCTTTGACATGAAACTAGGAAGGACCCGCCACCAGAACGAAACTTGCCTAGGGGAAAACACAGGAAGAAACAACATGCGAATTGAAAGCATGGTAATACACACCCACGCAGCCATGTGTTTGGGACATGATTTGCTGAAAGAGATACTTCCAGGAGTCACAAAGGGGTGGTGTTTAGTCCACCCCTTTGTGACTGCTGGTGTACATGTTTTGTGAGTTTTGACAAAGGTCATTTGAGCCCAAGGACAACGAAACGTTATAATTACGTATACTTACCATGAGTTTTAAGAGATGAGAGTGAGGACACACCTTTCCTTTTCTCCCAGTTTGTGCATGTGGCATCTTCTTCCAAGCACATCCAACAAACGACTACCTCTACTGGAGGCTCTTTTCCATGCAGTACATTTGTGTTGGGGTTTGGGGGTGATTTTGTCTATTTATCGTTTCAGTTTGTTTCCACGCTTTAG